CTCCGAGCCCGGCTCTGCCGCGGGCAGCCAACCCCTCCCGGCCGAGGGAGCCGACACCAAGACCTACTTGTGGGCCAGGTACCACGAGATGAAAAAGCTGGTATACGGTAAGGGCCGCCTCCGGGCGCTGGGACTGCCACGTCCTGCCGGGCTCGGCCTTTTTCCTCTTTTTTTTTTTTTTTTTCCCCTTCTTTGCATCTTGGTGCCTTTCTCCGCGCTGCAGAACTGGGGATGTGCCTATTGCTGTGCAGCTGCGGAGGTTGGAAGCTTTCTCCCTGGCAATGCCATTCGCACGCCTCCATTGCCCGGGGCCTTCTGGGACGGTTTTATTTCTGTTGAAATCTGGCCCTGGTCTCCCGCTCCTCATCGTGGGCTTCCCTCTGTGAACATCCATCGGCTGATCTCAGCGTTTCAGGACGCGCAGTGTATGTGGGGTTCTTCAGAACTGGCCTCGCTACCGTGGATTTTGTCGTGGTGAACGGTCTAAATGAAGGGCTGGTTGCGTTTTTCTTTAATTTGCCGTTGGTTGGCATATGAGAAGATGGTTAGACTAGGACAAATAGACAGTCGTGTTGACTGGTGTGGTGAGGAGTCCAGGGCCCAAGTTGTAACACTCTGTTGACACAAAGGTGAGCATGGAGAAGACTGATGCTGCAGCTGCTAGGATGTCTGCTGATCCTGAGCTCAGTTTGTGTTACAGATGCAAACCAGCTTTTCCTCCTGTGTGCGTGCGTGCATGTTTTTGTTTCTCTGACCAAGAAGTTACTTGGCTCCATTGGTTACTTGGTACACTGACATCTTGCTAAGTGAGGAAAATTCATGACACTCACCAAATCTATCAATGTGTAAAACAGGATTGTGGTCTTTTTGACAGCAGCAGACCTCCGCTTTATTAAACTCTCCCAAAAATGTAAAGGAATAGCTTTCATGGCATAAGGGCAGGAAACATTTTCCTGCTGGTTTCTTGTTTCTTGGGACGCTGAAGGTAAGCACTATGGAGAGCTAAGTGTGACTTTGTGTCTGCTGTTAAATAGCTCTCTATTAGCTCTTGTTTATCTAAGGGTTTGGAGAAGGACAGCAGCCTGCCATAGGCATCTGGAAGAGCCATCTCGCTGTTCTGAAACTGGCAAGTTCTGTCATTCCTTCCTCCCCCACCTTCCAGTACACGAGATTTGACATAAAATCTAAAAGTCCTTCATGATGCACAAATGTAAAGAAATTGGCTGCTGATCTGTTGGGTGCTCAGCCTGCTGCATTCCAGCTTTTGCAGGGTGTCATCCCCTTTGCCTGAGCTGCTGAAGGCAGTACAGGGTGCTGAAAGAGGACAATCCCTGCTCCAAGACTGAGTTGTGGTTTTTAGCCCTGCTGCTTAAAAGAAATTCCAACTTGCAAGAACTGTAATGGTTTTTGGACCTTAATATCCCCAAAGGCATTTTTTCTTTTCAGTAGTGGTATTGAAACCATAAATGCAGAGATGTTAATAGACTGTGTCATGGTCCCTTGGGAAAATGCTCACTTGGCTATGTGACAGATTGTGAAGTTTCACATATTCACATAGTTACGCTACATTGGGGTGCAAGAGATACAGTTATTACTGGACATGAAGAGCTAATCAGCAGGACTAAACACAAAATGAAGTTAGGTGAAGTAGCCCATGTGTTACAGAGCAGACTCTTTACAAACCTTCAGGTAACTATTAGACATATTAAATGAGAAGGCCCTTGTTCATTTAAAGAACGGCTCCCCAAACCTAAATTTCAAGACCATGCTGTTATTCGGGTCTTGTCAAGAGGCATAAACAAAGTTGGTCCAAGTTGATTTAAATTGTGCTTTGACAACTAAACAATATTTGTGCAAAATGTGGCATTAGTGTGTTCCTTTATTCTTGATTTCTAACTCTGATGTAAAATGAATGTCTGTGGTTGGGTTATGGGTTTGAAAACATTGTCATGACTCGATATTCATGAGCGTTGAGTTTGAGAAGGATCCTGTGGTGCCATCTTCTCCTTCTCTGAAACTTCACCTTTGCGAAGTCTTTTGTCCTATAGTGTCAGTTATTGCTATTGGTTTTGGAGACAGGTCTCTACTAGGAGAATTTATTATGTGTTTTCAAACCAGCTCTTGCTTAGGACCTGATTTATAGACCAATGTTGCATTTTTGCACAGAGGGGATTCCAGTGACAAATGCTGACTGAGTTGGACAAGGCAGGATGTGTAGGACGAGAGCTTCTGTGCAGTAGAGCTCAGTGGTGGTACGGATTTGGTGGCCAGAGCCAAAGTTGGTTGGAGGTTCTCAACTTTGTAGAAACACGTGTCTCTGTACTGCCAGGCTTGAGTGTGGTGATATGAATGACAACACAACATAGCTATACAAAAGGTACTGCTGAGGGACAATCTCCCCTTAGCATTGGCCATTCTCTTCATTGTTCCTCACTATCTTTTACAACTTTGACTCTTAAGACCAAATTTCATTACCTGTAAGAATTTGAGAATACTGCTTCCACTATCTGTGCTTTTTTTTTTTTTCTGCCAAGAGGAGAAGTATAATTGCATTTGTCAGAGGGGTGATGTTGAGCAAGACTTGCTGTATTTTGGTTTGATGGCATCTGAAGTGTCAAGGAAGGCTGATATGCTTTCTCAGAAATCAATGTCTGAAGTCTTCACTGTAGGAAACATCCAATCCTGAAAGTCAGTGGAACTGGCAAGCAAGTGAGGATTTGGCCGTAAGCAAGTGTGTATGGTTTTTTCCTAGATCTTTCAGACTTATAAACGTGGCTACAATAAATCAGCGTTGCGAAGGAACCTTTAAAATAACTGCCAGCTTCTTGCCTCTGCATAAGCTTGAGTGTGGTTAAATGTGAGAACAGAGTCAAGTTTGCAGACAGCAGGAACTTGTTAGGCATTGGTAACACTGAGGGTGTAGCTCAGTGGTAGTCCTCGCTCTTTTTGGTTTGTGTGGATCAAGAGATACCTTTGCATCTAAATAATGCAAGCTGCAGTCAGCAACTTGTACCCATTGCATTTGGAAATGGGAGAGGAGATGACGCCCCTGTGTGATCATTGCATTAGTGATTTTGGCGCGGTGCAGAGGTGTTTTTTGCAATCCAGCACATTTTGATTCTGCTTGTGTCACTAATCTCAAGCAGGCACAAAGATTTAATGGCCTCACTCTTTGCCAAAGCAGGGAATGAGTCTAGTGCTATGATAATAGATGCCCTGCAGCTCGCTTAGGGAGTGTGCAAGTTTCACCAGTTGTGGCATCTACAGATTAAGATGGGACTGGGAATGACAATCAGCAGCCAGAACTGGAAGTGCAACCAGTTGTTAACTTCCCAATTCTGCTTTCCTAAATGTAAACTTTTTTCTTGTAAAGAACTCTTTTAGTAGCATTTGTCTAGTGCTTTTTTGTGTATAAAAAAATGTCATTTTGGAATGAAACAGTATTTTTTAATGTTGCTTTTGGTTCACGTAGATTTTATTGACAAGAAATCCAAAAATATTTAGGCATAATGGCGTAAATTCAAGACTATGCTCCAGAGTAATTTTCAGCACTCTTAACGTGGCTCCTCTGTCCTTTAATGTTCTTTAAGTAATATTTCCCTCTCCTTACCCTCTTGGTAGAGGCATCTACTTCAGCTGGTTGGAGTGCTTTGCAGGAAATGGTGCAAAACAACCCTTCAAAAGGATAAAGAGGTACTTGGAAGGGAGGAAAGCTGGCAGTTTGTCTTTAGAAAGCACGTCAGCGTGAGCAAAGGGAACTTTTTGATTCATGAAGAATGTGGAGGATGGTGGCCATCTGCTCTTCAGTGTCGTTCTTTTCCTCGCTGATCTTACAAAGAAGTTAGCGCAGATGTCTGTTGTGTTGGACCTCTGGGAGTACAAAGGGTGTGAGATAGGCGTGAGTTGCCTTTTTTATGTGTTATTCTTCACTAAGGTGCTGGATCTGAGGCTGAGAAAAGGAGTGTTTCCTGCATGATGCTGTTAGTACCCTCGAGAAGCACAGAAAAGCACTGGACGTGCTTGGCACCTCCTGACTGGAGTGTTTTTCAAGTCAGAAGGGGCCATATGGTGTCTTGGCATTTCTAACAGCTGCTCACAGTTAATTACCTGCTTTTGTTTCCATCTCTGCTGTCATGTTGGGGATTGAGTGTTATTGCTTTCTGACAATGTGGGCTACTGCCTGGGAAGAGGCATTTGTGCTGTCATGGAGATATTCTGATTTAAGCAGCTCATAGGGCCTCATAGCATTAAAATGGAGGAGATGTGTGTTTACCTGGCATTTACACCCAGGTGTAAAAAATGCATGAGATCAAACACACTTTCTTATGGCCTGCCTTTGTTGCTGAGTTTTATCATGTACTGTGGATATGCAGATGCTTCCGTTAAAACCATCAAGTTGCAAACGAGCAAAAATTGTGCAAGTATGCAGATTCCGGGGGTTTGTAACTATTGCAAGAGCTGTTTTTTCCCCACTGTCCTCAGAGGTACACATGCCGGTTCTCCCTTAGATCATAATTTCTGGGTGAAGTGCTGAGTAGACGGTGACTAACTGTGATACTGTCTCCATTTCCAGTTAGGACCCAGGTGGTAAGAGTAGTTGAGATTATTTTTCTTTTTTAATAATCAAAACTGCTTTTTGTGTTGTTTTTTTTTCTTGCTGTAATTCATCATCCCTGTCCAGCAATCTATTTCAGTGTCTTGGTAGAGGAAAAGCAAAAGTTGTCGTTCTTGAAAAATCGCGTCTTCATGGGCTTCTGCAGGGTGTCATCTGTTTGTCTTGATTTGACAATCCTCACGCAAACTGAGGCTAAGATCACTAGCAGATTATGCGTTCAATGTCAGCAGAGCAGCAGCACCCAAGTCTGCAGCCCAGGTCTTGATTAAGCACACAGAATTTGTAACCACCCAGGTGATTATCTTTAAGGAAAAAAAAAAACGCCACCAAAAAACCCAAACAAAACAAAACCACAAAAAAGCAAACCAAAGGAAAAAAAACCCAAACAAAAAGCCAGACGTCTTGAAACCTGGCTCAATAAGCCAGGCATGTTTGGGCTCTCATATTGAGACTGATCTTGCATGTGCTTCCGGCTTCTGTCTCTTCCCTGCAGTAGTCTGAACCTGCAGAGAGACTGCGTGAGAGGAGACAGACACCTACCGCTCTATTGAGGAGGATGCTGCAAATGGACATTTACACTGAGCTGAAGGTGCAGCATGAGTCTCTGGACTGAAACCCAGAGCTTTTTCCTTCTCTCCGGGAGATTAGTGACTTTGAAAGTACTGTGAATTTGAGATGAGGATGACGGCGTGGAAAGAGCAAGCTGTCAGCAAGCTGCTGTGACTTGATTTGATGATGATGATGTGGTAGGAAACACAGCAAGGAGATGTGCAGCGCTCCAGGAAGTGTGCATAGGGAGCATGTTGTGTGTGAGGCAATGGCAATAAAGCATTTTGGCTAGCGTATGCATCTTCTTTTTGGTCCTTATGAGGTAAGAGGGAACATGGTGTGTGACAAAATGTCTAAGTGGGGTAAAGTGATCTGGGTAGGAGGCTGTCGGAGAACAGCAGAGAGGATCTGTACGTTTGAGGCTGGCAGGGAGGAGTATGACTTCATCCAGTGGATCTAAATATATGTAATAAATCATACTGTGGCACAGTTACTGCTTCTACTTCTGATCACAGATAAGACTCGCTTTATGTGCTTGTCGAATCGCAGACTACCTTTTCCTTGTTACAAAATCATACTGCTCCCTTAGTTTTTCTGATTGTATTCTGGCAAAAGTTGTGGCTGGTGTATGTTGTTGAATCTAGTTTGGTCTCATGTCTTCTGTGAAAGGAGAGTTGGGGCTCAGGCAATGATATTTTGCACTGCTCTCAGACTATCAAAATGTGTTGTCATAAAGCTGTTGGCAAATGGTGAATGCTGGAAGAGCTTGATCTCTCTCTAGGGATATGGTAGCAGCAAGTGGGGTGCATTTGTAAAAAAAAAAAAAAAGTTCCTTCATTAGAAGAGGAAAGCACTGCATATTTGCACTGTGATGTGATTAGGGTTGTGTCATTTTCTTTGCAAGGAAAAAAAATAACACCCGGCAAATCCCAGTGTATGCTTAGAAGATTTATCTGGAGGTGAGGACAGGAAGTGGAGCTCTGTTTGTTTATGGTACGAAGAGCATTTATGATGAGAGGATGAAAGTTGTGATCATCTGAATCCTATTTATGTTTACCATCTTTTAAAATCCCAGTGGAAAGTACAGTGATTGCGTCCGCTGTCTTCAGCCTCTTCCAGGAACTTTGCCACCAGCAGTCACTGAAAGAGAGCTGTATTCCTG